AATACACAGAAGATGGCATTGTTGGGCTCGCCAGATTGTTTCCATCCTCTCTTGGTCCACCAGTTTGTTGCCCATGAAGTCTGTAGCACCCATAAAGTCTTTCAACAGCTGTTCAATGAGCTGCTTGGTCACCTGAGCCTCACGGGTCTGGTGGCGGCAGTGCCTAAGTAACTCGTTGGCAGTAAGATTCCAGATTTCAGATTTGGTATCTTTAGATTGTCGCAGCTCATGTCGCTTGGCTTCTTGCAGTTTTTTTAAATCTCCAGCATCCCACTCAAATATACAGGAGAAGAGACGTCCCATGAAGGGGCCGTAGAGTGGGTGGCTTTCTGAAGTGACACCTGCTGCGAACCGTTGCATAAACTGCCATGCGTCCAGTCTGACAACCAGCTGGTCCCACTCGTGGAATATGGCTTCCATTTTGCTCTTGCCCGTAGTGGAACAACAGTCCTGGCCCACGTACAGAATCTGCGGAGGAGGTTGTCCGGCTCGCCGGTAACGTTCCATCAAGCCGGAGCACATGGGAAGCAGGCCCTCTCCCTCTGTTTGGGTCAGGACACACATTAGGACCTGCCCATTCTCATTTCCTACGTTTGTGGCCCACACAGCTGAATTCTGTTTCTTAGTGACCTAATTGTGAATGAAAAGAATTGGTAAATGTTGTAAGATACGGTCAATGATACGCTTTTTATCCAGATCTATTCATTTATTTTTAAAAGAAATACTATAAAAACAATTCATAAATATATATTTTATGTTTAATTCTGACATTAAGATAAAAATGTCAGGATGATAAAACCTGCCCTGACACCATGGTTAAGAAAAGGTCTGAATTAAATCTTAATAATTAAACCATATGAATATTTTAACAAAACGTCTTATTAATATTTATGTGATACAACAAAAAAGGAAATGATATCATAGAGAGGATCCCTGCAGAACCTCATGAATCAGTGTCATGGTCAATGAAGTCTTAAAATATCAGATAGTTTGCCGCTTTTATAACAAGGAAATGTAACTTCCAATAACTTAGTGATATAGATGATGATTTACAAATTAATTAATTAATAATTAATAGTTTATTAATTTGTTTGTTTATTTAATTATTAAGATGTGTACATGCTTTTTACATTTAAAATAGACTTTAACACCACCATAAACACAAACAGAACATAACGTGTTTTAATTTATAATTCAATATAACTGTTTTGATTGTATCTCTGATCAAATAAATGCAGCCTTGGTGGGCATAAGAGACTTTTTAAAACTTCTGAACGGTAGTGTATGTCATTAACAAAAACACTGCAATAAATGCATAAAGTTTAGTTGCGTCTTCTCACCTTCTTGGTGGAGACCAACTTCAGGATGGAGCCGTAGATGGAAGTGACCCTGGCCTTCATCTCTCCGAGCCGTGTCAGTGCATCCTTTGCATATACCGTCAACAGCAAGGACGGAGAAGGCACTGGATTCCTCTGTGGCACCCTGACAGTAACGCTGCTGAGATCTTGAAACTTGTTCAATACAGAGAGGTACTCTGTGGCCTGAGCCATCCACTGCTCCTTATGCTGCACACAAAGGTGCCGGTACATCGCGGTTGCACTCTTTCTTGGTGCCTGACACTGCATCAGTCTAACAACCTCTTTATCACAAGACAGCCTTTGAGCAAAAGACACACACAAAAATCAAACCCTGGGCATTTTACATCTTTACAATGTTTTGATTGTTGTCAAACATCTCAGCCTACCTGTAGGTCAGGACAGCTGGGAATTTCTCACGATGGATGAGATCCAATTGATCCAGAACGTCTTGCGACCAACCAGCCATCTTCTTCTTGCAAGAACAGCACTCCAGGTACTCTGTGGCAATGAAATACCACCCTCTCATGTGTAAAACCCTCCGGACGGTGTTGTACAACCCACAAGGCCTCAAATGATTCCCGAGACGACGGCAGTTGGGCTTCGTGCACACTAGCCTGTATGCCCACATGCGACAGGGCAACCAAAGGAACAGCCTGCTATGAAAGAACGGGTCAGGAAAAGGAGGAGGTTGTGAATACAACAATTGGGGTCCAGGAGGTGACCACCACAGCTGCAGAGGTTCAGTCAGCGTCAACTTCCCAGATGCATCTTTGGTAAAGAGAGCTTTACTGACCCAGAGATGTTGCTCTTTTGGCAGTGTATGCTTCCAACCATCTGGTAGTAAAAGCTGTGAGAAACAAAGAAAAGAAGTTGAACATGCAAATTTTTTCATTATCCTGCAATATGAGGGCCACAGCTGCCATTTCACTTACTTCTTCAGGAGGATCAGGAAGCTTTTCAACTGCTTGTTGAGCCATTTGTGATGAGGGTCGGCGTTATTGCTGCCAGGAGGATCGACTCGCAGTTACCTGGTGTTAAAGACAAATATATCAGTGATGCAGATTTTTTTTTTTTTTTTTACAGAACCATAGAAACTGTAAATAAAGTTTTTGTTTAGCCAGGAAAACAAAACTAAAAAAATAGTTTGAATTTGGGGACTTCATCTCTTTTGTACGGTTCAGGCCAGGGTGTCATGTTCTCAGTCATTTTAAAGTTTTTTTTTTTCAAACATCAGTCCACCTCTTAATATTTAGCATAATTTTTGGTCACGATGAAGTGGGACACAGTCAAAATGCATAATCAGAAAAGCGCTAATTAAACGCTTTAATTGACTTATTCAGCCAAATAATTTCAGTAGCCAATATTTTGATGCATCAGCATCACTAAAAAAAGGCAAGTCCCTATGAAAAATAATTTAGACTTTTGTAGAAATGAAAATAACATTTGAACTAATATAAATACTAATATATGAAAATGAAAAACAGTACAAACAACTTCAATGGAGCATTACTAATGCACACAATTAATATACAGTATATTCAAAGGTGTCTGGGCTTTGGGCAATCAAGTTCTTCACTCTGTAAATAATTTCTACATCATACTTAAGTTAAGTTTTCTTCTTCCCAATCCCTTTCAGGCAGAATTCGATTTGTTTTGTTTGTTGTTTTTTGTTGTTGTTTTTTTGTTTCTTGTTTCCTTTTGCACTGTATGACTTAACAAACATTTTGTCTGCCTTGTACTTTTGTGCCATTGCCTGAAATAAAAAAATAAATAAAAAAATTTAAAAATACAGGAACAGAAGACCCTCCCTGAACTGTTGGAAGCACAGAATTCTCTGGAATGTCATTGTATGGTGTAGCACTGAGTTTTGTTTTCACTGGAGTTACTGGAATGGACAAACCTGATATGGTGGTGTGGTGTCCACATACTTTTGACGATATACTGCCATTTTAGTCAATCTCAAGAATGCATATTAGAGCTACATGTGACGTGTAAATATTGTTATTATAATTTTAAAAGTACATATGACTAAAAACATTACTCTGCCGTAAGTTAGATTAACGCTTACGAAAGTCACAAGGAATGTGTAGTTAACGTTAATGCTAATTCATTCATTAAGGAGTCATAATTGCAAAGAGACAAAATTGTGGACCACTAGGTGAAACCCCGTGCATTAATACATCATATCGTCATGATAATACGCGCATATGCATCTTTTAAACAACATGCACGCGTTTAACAACAACAACATTGTTTCAAACTCACATGAAAACGGGTCATCAACTCTTACCTTGAGGGCGCCTAAATCAAAAAGTGACAACGCAAATATTTCAGTAACCAGTTCACGACAAGAACAGTTCAATTTTTTTCTCACATAAGACTGCTGTTTTGTTTTGTGTCCCGACCATAGACGGTCCCGACAAGTTAACGTATCACGCGAGCATCGATTCGTGCTTTGTGGACCTCACGTCACGAGCTGCGTCACCAATAAAAGACTCTGCAAAAAGTGGAGACTTTCCACTCCTATGAATGAGCAATGGGCTCAGCGTTTATTCCTATGGGGGGGTTTAGTCCCTCGCTGCAGCTGCCAATCGCATTTTTGATGAAGGACTAAAAGTCCCGCCTTCCAGTTAAAAGAGCCAATCGCTATTTTTTAGAGTGGCTCGGCTCTGACTCGCTCGTTTGTTTACTCTTTACTGCGCATGCGCATTAGACCAGATTGAAATGCACCGCTGCAGGCAGATGTTATTACTGATTATTGTATATACATTTGATTTAACATTGACATGCAGTTTCGGCGGATTTCAGCTTTTATATAATCAGTAGTATATTTAAGGGCAAGGCATCTCTTCCATTCCATTGTGTTCAAGCGAAGCGGCCTCTTGTCTTTTTTAAGCATATGTTTTAAGCATATGGGCTCCCCCTACAGGACTGACTTTGCCTCCGCAGAAACAAAGTACTAATTTCCTCTCAGCTGCTTTACTGAATACATTTCATTTGTAGAAGAGTCATTCCTGGAATTTTAGGAATATTTCAGTCCCCTAGACTTTTTAAAGTGGTGGTTCACCAAAACGAACTTTTAAAAGCTTTTCACTTATTTGGAATTTGGTATGAATAAATAATTCTTGTATTTAAATATTTTTGTTGTGTCATAAAAATAATTTCTATCGTACACCTTTGGCATAGCATGTCCCTGAGGCATTTCGCTGAATATGTAATTAGAAAATAACAAGATGTGCACATAGTCTTAGCACATGCTTATTTGTGTTACTTTCTTGTGAAAAATTCAAGTGACCCAATGTCCCAGAAAGCTACATCTCTGCAATATATTGTGCATTTGCCATTTTATTAATATACTAATTTTGATACTAAACGATAGTATTTTTCTCATGAGAATAATAAACAAATGCCCACAAACATCTAATTCACAGGCCTATCTTATGAAAGTTTTTTTTTTCTTGTTACTGGGACTGATGCTGTATCCATGGGATTTCATTTTGAACTTGTAATGTTCCTCCTTTTGATGATATTTTATAATGCATTTTAGTGTTATTTGCTCTTATGCACAGTAGTTGGCGATATTCGTCTTGCCTGTAAAACTAGAAGAAAATAAGCCACCGCCCATTGGATGCGTCAGAGGCGTGACGTTTGTGATTTTCTGGAAATCAGTGAAATGTGGATTTTGTCTAGGTAATTTTATCATCACGCACCTTGATTTGTCTATGAAATGAAGTAAGGTAGCTTACTGCATCACATTTTCTCTGAAGCAGATCTGAGGTAAGGCGATCCAACACGGGCACTGCCCAAAAGATCAGCTGGAGATTGTACTTGACAGATCGTTGTCATTTAAAGCACTCTTTGACGCAAAACAAAGTGTATAAATAGAAACGAATTGCAAGTAACGTTAACGTAGCAGGCTTGTGTGTTTACCATGTGTATGTTTTTATTCTAGCGATATCCGATGTGAATCAATCCCTTAACTCGGATCTTTTTGATGAATTGGTTGAATCGTTTGTAACACATTTCTTTATAGTCTTGCTTTTTTACCTGGACTCTGAGACATGCATAAAGTTTGATGATGATGATGAACCGATTTCTGTTTTCTAAAAGCATCGTAAGCATGCATACGTAGGATGCTTGGAAATGCAGCCCTAGTGAGTTGTTCACGAGTTGAACTAAATCAGTCTGATGAATTTATTGAATCAATTATTCGTTACATCATTTGGTTTAGTGTTAGTAGGAATGTTTACGACTTGATTATCCGAATCCAAAAGAACCGATTCTATCCTAAAAGAACTGAATCGCGGAAATAAGTCGATGTTGTCATCACTACTTCCCATAACGCCCAGTAAACTAACTTGATTGTCTGCATAGTGAGATTAGTTTGGCGTGACTGAATCCAGCAATTACAGATAATTACACTTTATGGTCAAATGATGAAAAACAAAAGGGTTTCTGTATCTGAGATGCATGGCAGCTTCCACGAATAGCTTGAATACTTCAGTCACGTACGTTTTATACAAACATATATATTTTTTAGGCACATGAAGGGACATTTTAGTAATCATTATAAAACATTCCTTTCAGGCAAACAAATAAATGATAAGTCTAAATCTAAGTCTTTAACCAATTAAATTACTTTAACAGGACAATAAGTACCCAAAAGTATTTGAAATAATGCATGATATCATAACAATGTAAACAATCTGTTAGAATACAGTTTTCATAATCAGTCAGTATATTATGTAGATCCGTACTGATTTTGGTGTTGTGGTGGGTAGTTTTTTCCTCTGAAGTAAAAAAATCACAAACTTCCATTTTTTGTGGTCTTTAACTTTTGCATGTCCAGTGTTATTTGATCTTTGTCTCTCTCTTTCTCTCTCTGTTTGCAGTTGCTCTCAGTCCCAGCAAGAGTGAGCAGAGTGCGGCCTGCACTATGAGCGGGGCAGCGCTGGGAATAGAGATTGTGGTTGTCTTTTTCCTGGCTCTCTTTCTCCTGCATCGCTATGGCGACTTTAAGAAGCAGCAGCGCATGGTTCTCTTTGGCACACTGCTGGCTTGGTATTTGTGCTTTCTCATCGTCTTCATCCTTCCCTTGGATGTCAGCACGGTTAGTGTGGCTCCCGCTCTATAAATGTGTACAGCACTGTTAATTCCTGATGCAACTCGGACAACTTGTGCAATTGATTTTCAGACAATCTACAAGCAGTGTTTAATTGATCAGGAAGCACATGCCCAGACGCCCTCTGTGAGCCCTGTCCTTTCAAACCAGACGACTCCAAATAACTCTGTCTCGCCCAGTAAAAGGTAAATTCAACAGCAATTCAGTTAGGCCTATTCTGACTGTACTGTTATTCTGCATGTTTGTGAATATATATTTTGTCCCTTTTCCCGAAGCACTGAACATGTGTGCTATAAACCATGGAGCTACATTCCAGATGGCATCATGCCAGTGTTCTGGAGGGTTGTTTATTGGACCTCACAGTGTCTTACTTGGTGAGAACGCTTTGTCCTTTTTAAACTTGATAATGGCATCTTAAATCTTCCTGGTAATTATTTGTCACTGTCTGTTACTACTCAAGTCAGTATTGTAGTGCTGCAAAAGTAATTGAAATGAAAACAAAATTGCTATTTGACAGAGAGAACGTCTAGCTTTGCAGTAAATGCTGTTCCCCGCATCTCTGCAGACATTTGGGAATGCAACATTGCACCAACCTTTTTCCCCAACATGTCAAAAAAAGGAGAAACTTTAAGGGCTCCTGGTTTTCCACAAAAATGATTGATTTACTTTATTAATCCCCAAGGGGGAAATTTATAAACACAAATGAAGATATAACTACTACTACTACTTTAAGACAACTATAAATATTAATATTGTAATTGTATAGTTGTACTGTATAATAACATTATTATTTTTCTTAAATTCAAATTTTTATTTTAGAAATTAAAGTTTTCATGCCATGGACTCCAATATATATATATATATATATATATATATATATATATATATATTACCTTCATGTATAAAGGCCTATTTTTTACTAATAGTAATTGTGACAACACTTTTTAAACTGGTTTATATTGTATTAGAGCCAAATTAAAATCCAATTATAATAATTATTAGAAAATATTATTTGTAAATTTCAGGGGGGTTGGTGTTTTCTTCCAGATCTGTTTGCATAGCACTATTTACAGAAAACAATTCACAGATTTTCTGGGCCCTCGAGCTCTCCCTTTTAAAAATCTTTGGTTTAAACAGTGCATAAATACCTATGCTGTATTATGTCTGCTCATGAATGTGCTAACTGTAGGAATAGTGATTAATAATGGTGGTTTCTCTTCTAAGGCTCCTTCTGCCGTTCATGCAATCATATGCCCGCTCTGGAGGATTCTCCATTACTGGAAAGATCAAGACGGCCCTGATTGAGAATGCAATCTACTACGGCACATACCTTTTCATCTTTGGCTCTCTTCTCATCTATGTGGCTGTGCATCCTCAGTGGCACCTCTCCTGGTCTGTAAACCAACCCAGAAAATTCTTCAATTGTCATCACAATGTTCTGTTCATACTGACTCTTGTTTTCTGTATGACTTCACCAGGTATGAGCTGCAAACCATCGGCATCACTGCGGCCAACACTTGGGGTCTGTTTCTTCTAGTGTTGCTGTTGGGCTACGGCCTGGTCGAGATCCCCCGCTCATACTGGGAGTCCTCACGCCAGGGTCACCTTCTCATCAAGACTTACTTCAAAGCAGCCAAGCTCATGACAGAGAAGGCCGATTCGGAGGAGAACCTAGAAGATGTCATGGAGGTGAAAGCCATGTGTGCTTATATGCTGTAAATAAACATCTGTTTACAATATATAAGTCCAGATGAGCTGGTCTTTGAAAGGTTATGTCAGATCAGAGTCCATTCAGCCAATATTGTGTCCTGTATTATTATCATAGGAAGTGAGAAAAATCAATGAATCGATCAAATATAATCATCCGCTGAGGAAGAACGTAGACACCATTCTCCGAAAGGTGAGTGCATTTTTATGTACTTGATTGAAGTAACCGTGCCACTCTTTTTAGTTGAAACCTGCTTTTTTATTTTTAGTGCCCAGTTGAATATCAGGAGAAAATGGGCAGGAACATGGATGACTATGAGGATTTCGATGATAAACAAAACGCATATCCCTCTGAAAGAAGCCTTTCGAAACTACACAAGCAGGTACCGCTCAGGAGTTCTCTCTGTGTTTTCTGAATTTTGATCAAGGACGATACTGACAGCTGATTTCTCAGGTGATCTACGCAGTGCAGCGGCACAACCGCACACGCGTTCAGTGGCAGATATTGCTGGAACAGGCTTTACATCTCGAGGACGTTGCCAAGAACGAAACCAGCACATCTCGGCAGTTCGTTCACAGCTTTGCCCCTCCAGAACCTGTAGGCTGGTTCAGACGCTATATTTACACTCCCACAGTAGGTAGGTAATAGATCTAGATAAACAAGTGTCGCTTTTGTCCCTGCTTTTACTCCTTGGTTTCCCTCAACAGAGTGGTACTGGGAGTGTTTGCTGAAGAAGTGGTTTTACCGTATACTGGCTGTGGTTCTGTCACTCTTTTCGGTGGCTGTGGTTTGGTCTGAGTGCACTTTCTTCAGTACTCGTCCCGTTCTGTCACTCTTTGCTGTGTTTATCCAGCTCGCTGAGAGAGATTACAACTACCTGTACATTGAGGTGAGTCTGCTTGTGATCTGTAATCTAAGAAAAGTGAATAGTCAAGTCAAATGTATTTGTATAGCTCTTTTCACAATACAAATTGTTTCAAAGCAACTTCAAGATGATAATGTTTATTACATTTTAGTATCTCCATGCCTTAAGCAACATTTAGCAGATTAGAGCTGGGCGATAATATAGTAAATGGATAAAAATATAGATGGGAGAGGTAACGTCAATAAACTCAGTTATGTCCATCACTGTTCAAAAGATTGAGGTTGGTAAGATTTATTTTTTTAAGTCTCTTATGCTTACCAAGGGTGTTTATTTGATCAAAAATCAACAAAATTATTTAAAAAAATATTTTAATATATTTTAAAGTGTAATTTATTTCTTTGATGGCAAAACCGATTTTTTTAGCACCATTACTCCAGTTTATAGGTCACATGATCCTTCAGAATTCATTCTAATATGATGATTTGGTGCTTAGAAACATTATTATCAATGATGAAAACCGTTGTTCCGCTTAATATTTTTGTTGAATTTATTTTTTAGCATTTATTTGAAATATAAATCTTATGTAACATAATAAAAGTCTTTACTGACATTTCTGATCAATTTAATGCATCTCTGCTGAATAAAAGTATTAATTTATTTCAAAGGTTTTAATTTTATAATTGATTAAAATGTATGTGTTTATATATATAGACAGTATATATGTACACTGTTATATTAGAAAGTAAATGTAAAGACATCAGAAGTTTGAACTTATCTTTTTTTCTTTAGTAAAATAGTTAAATTAAATCATTTTAATATATGAATCTATTTCAGCTATTTTTTACTTATTTTATTCATTTTTCAATCTTGCCGACTCCTACAGTACACCAAAACTAAGAGTTTACTGATAGTCTGACCTGGTGAGATTAGCTGAAACATAAGCTAATATTGTCATTTTTGGCCTGTAGATGGCGTGCTTCATTACAATCTTTTTCCTCTGCACCTGCGTCTACTCCACTGTGTTTCGCATCCGAGTCTTCAACTACTACTACCTGGCCTCACATCACCAAACCGATGCCTACAGCCTGCAGTTCAGTGGCATGTATGTTTTGCATAGCAATATTGAGTGTATTAAACTTGTATTGTCAGTAAACTCTGCCTTTAGTCTTTCCCTGATAAAGCACAAAGACTGTGTGTTGTTTACTAGGCTTTTTTGCCGCTTGACCCCACCACTTTGTCTAAACTTCCTGGGACTGATTCACATGGATTCTGCCATATCCCACCAAGCAAAGGAGCAGACGGCATACACCTCTGTAAGTCGTTTACCATTAAATTAAATTTAGAGAACAAGGCTTCAATGGCCCAGAATGCCCTTTTTGAATGTACTATGAACCTTCTCTAATGTTGTAGATCATGGGTTCCATGCGGGTCCTGTCCTTCATTGCCAACGGCTTCTACATATATTATCCCATGCTGATCGTCATTCTTTGTATCGCTACATTCTTCAGGTGTGTCTAATATTATCTATGAATCATCAGAATTTCATGTGTGATAGGTATTATGTGTCAGATGTTATGTTGTAGTTTCTGACCAATTGAAAACAATTTTTTTTCACTTTCTGTCCAGTCTTGGGACACGTTGTCTGAACCTCCTGGGTTTCCAGCAGTTCATGGGAGAGAACGAATTGACTTCTGACCTCATAGATGAAGGCAGAGAACTCCTGCGCAGAGGTCAATAGTATATACACAGTAAATATAAAATGCATGTTTGGTGTGAGTAAAATGTTTTTGAAAGAATTCTCTTTTGCTTAACAAGGCTGCATTTATTTGACCACCTGTCATAATAAAGAGAAAACAAATATTTTAGGAATCACAACTAAATAGTATTTCACACATAATAATAATAATAACAACTAACTAAAAAACGTAATATTTTGAATACTGTCCTTTGGCCTTAAAAACATCTTGCATACTCGCATTGTTTTTATGTACAGTACTTTTCCCCTGTCTCTGATGTTATTGACATACAAATAGTTTGTAGTTGTTCCCAAAGACTTGCTTTTGATAAAACTAAATCCCAAATTTATTTAATAGGATTCAAGTCTGGACTTTGACTTGACAATATATTATTATATATATATACTACTGTTCAAAAGTTATTTTTTATTGATTGATTGATTTTATGATTTATTTTCAAATGGTTTTTAAAATGAGAAAGCTGTAATATGAAGCGTATCTAAATGTTCGACCGGTAGTTTAAAAACAAAGTTAAACAGTCTCCTGTGGTTGCTCTGGTTAGATGTAAACAGAAATAAATGGTGATTCAAACAGGAATCACTTTTCCTCATTGCTACAGCTCTATCTGCAGTGGTGAAAACCTCAGTGCGTCAGAGGGGTAGTTACCACTGACACAAACATTGACAGTTAAAGTGGTGAACGGTCAACATTAATCAAGGAATCAAGGAAATGTATGTGACTTATTTTGTTCCTTTGCACAGAAAGAAGAAAACGGCAAAGAATAGAAGATGGGGAAAACAGACGAAGAGTAAGATTATTTCTATTATTCATACTGCGTCTGATTGTTCCAGTGTGTAAATATGTTTCCCTGTGACAGGAATGGAGAGAGCGTTATGTTCAGCGAGATGATAATGCTGCCAGAAACCAAACCTCCATGTCTGAGATGAAGGAAACCAACTACGGCGAAACCCTGAATTCAAACACAAACCGACGTATGTTTAATAAGACGTGTGTCCTGTAGTGTTCTTTTAGGGTGTTTGTTCCAAAAAGAAGCACGAATTTGCAATTCATCCTTTTTTCTTTTTTCTTCACAGATGCCAAGTACACACGTAGCAGCAACCAGACAGGGCGAGACAGCATCGAGTTGTTGCAAGACGCTGAGGCATTGGACTTCAATGCTGAGACACTCACTGATGACCCTTTGCAATCTGACCCTGGCAGGTTAGATCGAGTTTTATTGAGGGCTGTGGGCATGACAGAATTTTGTTGGCCAACTCGGAAGTTAGCATCACCCTAGTTCTCCTTTTCAATTGGCTTTTGGATTATTGTGAGTAGTGAGTAGATGAGATTTCCTGTTTGGTGTGTTGATATTCAGTGGCCTGTGTTGTTCCTTTTAGATGCTTGTTACTTATTAACAAGCATCTAAAAGGAACTACAATATTACCGAGGTATTTTATGTCGTTGAATAAAACATTAGAATATATTGAGTTTGTGTTAACCGCACACTTTTTCAGGTGTTTAAACAAAAAACCCATTCCAGAAACCCATTGACTTTGGGGATGCTGGAACTTACAGCACTCTATTGTCACAAGGTTTATCTTGTGCGCTCACATGTCTGTTTCTTTCCCCCACAGACATGCTGGTGGAAGGTACCTCTCAATGTCGTCTTCTCGAAGCCGAATCTTTGATGATGTTTAATGTCTTTTTTTGGGTCAAAACACTGTCTAGGGAAAATAAGATGAATTTTACCTCTAAAAACACTCTCTAAGGTGTGGTTTGTTCCTGTCTTTTCAAACATCTTCAATTTCCTGTATCCTGTAATGCAGTGTAGTTATCTGCATGCGTCCTGATAAACTGGCAGCCACGTAGAGAAATGCACACACTCATTTTGAAGTGCCAGGCATTCAGACTGCTGCATGTGACAAATGGGTTTTTTTTTGTTTTGTTGCTCAGTGTCTTTAATCCATTTCAAGAAATGAGTCAAAGTTGAACAGTCAAAACATTGAGCCATGAAAGGTACTACAGACAGAAAGTATTTAACTGTTTCTCATCTCATTTATATATATAATATATATATAATATTTAAGTCCTGGTGTAATTTAGTTTTAAGTATTTTTTTCCATTATTACTATTCTTTTATGTATTTATGGTACATAAAGTTTTATAATTTATGTCTTGATTTTAGACACATCACCTTCTGCTTTTCTTGTTTCACATGACTGTTATTATTTAGACCTTGTACAGTACGTTTCATTTATAATGAAGTTACCTGTGTGACCTTATTTTAGCACTAGTCTTGTGGATGAATGTCACTGTCAGATAGACAATTTGTAATTAGCATTGTCATTTTTGACACTTATTCAGAATTGGCAAAACTGTTGAAATAGCTTTGAGGATGCACTCTGATTGTTTAAAAAATGGGGTTAAAACATGTACTTATGGGCTGGTTTTCCAAACTTCTTTATCACAAGTGCAGTTTTCTTATAGAAAACAGACTTTCAGTGTACAAATGTGTTGAAGGAATCTGGTTAGCAACATACGTTTATAAAACAAGACCAGTGTATGCATGGCAAGATATGAGGGAATCACATTTTTTTTAATTACATGAAATTCTCCTTGTGTCATCTCTAGCATATCAAATGTACATTTTTGCATGATATGATATTCTACCGCACATGCTTAGAGTGTTAATCTTTTTTCTCACAGGAAGTGCAGTAGCAGCTCTAAGTAACTAGTGTTATATTTCACTCTAAACATGTCTATTCTCTCTACAAATGTTAAGCATCGTGGTTTAATCTCAGATTCATGGATTTTCTTAGTAAATGTAGCCCTTTAGGTTTAAATAAATAAGAAGGACATTTGTTTTTTTCTATACATACTTTTGGTTTACTGAAAAGTGTATTCACATTTACTGTGTATTTATGAAGATATTAATTATGTTGCCAATGGGGTGTAATCTTGATATGTTCATTTGTCAGACCTCATGTAGTATGATGATGAAGGCTGGAACTGGACTCGATGCTGGAATATGTTGATTTGTATATTTGGTGTAAGTGAATTATGGTACATTCTTGTTATTAATAAATGATTGATTACATCATATTTGCTTCTATCCCAATATTTTAAAGGTCATGTTTGTCATCAAATTAACATTTCTATAACGAAATCTTTTGTTTGAGTCTTTAAATGACTGGTAGTACTTTAAATGACTGGTAGCACTCTCGATCAAGACTTCGACTTGAGGTCTGGAGAAGTCATATCCGTAGTTAATTCATAAAAATATATATATATATTTTAAATTAAATTATTAAAATGAATTGTGTTTGTACCCTAGGGCAGGGCTGTCTTGAACAACAGCAGAAGGTCAAACCAAACAAACACTTAATGCAAGATTGACCAATCAAATGCACGAACTCGTCTCCGTGGAAACGGTAAACGCTAAAACAGGAAAGACCAAAACAGCGCTCCCGAAATACAGGTGGTTTTAGCACATTAATCATCGTTTTGTTTCACTTCTCTATGTGAGTATGCTGCAAGTAGACTATTAAGAATTAATAAAGTCATGATGTATTTACTGTTTGCTGGATTACAGTACATTTTAAGAGCATGTTGTTTCCTTATTGCGAATACGGTTAGTCTTACTATACTAAACTAAACGTTAACGTTACTACTGATGAATTTGTATTATAATATAATTGTATATTATTATAATTACAATGTATACAGTTTTTATGAGGTCATATTCAGAGAAGAACACTACACTCATAAATAAAGGTTCCAACGGGGTCAGCTCTGCAATAGGCTTTATTTTTTTTAAGAGTGCACCCATATAAGTATGCCTAAAAATCAGTTTGTCACCTTCAGATAGGTGTAGGATGGCAGGTACATCGCGACATGACCGAGAGATGGCAATTAATGCCAAGAAGCAGCTGACAGATTGCACAGACCCCATTGAACGACTAAGGCTGCAGTGTTTGGCACGAGGGTCTGCAGGCATCAAGGGACTGGGCAGGTACCGTGTGCATGAGGTGTGTTTCTTCATATAGACTGAAGTGCAGATATCTGACTACAGTTTGATGTTCTCAGGACTTTTAGGATCATGGATGATGACAATAGTCGCACACTGGACATGAAGGAGTTCCTGAAAGGCCTGAGTGACTACGGTGTGCTCATTGAGAAAGAAGACGCTGTTAAACTTTTCCAGCACTTTGACAGGGACGGAAGTGGTTATATTGACTTTGATGAGTTTCTTTTGTCTCTGAGGGTAAACGCATTGAACGATGATGTGTTTTTAGTTGACCGGTGCAATGGCAGTTGTGCTTATTATTTTCATTCCTGTGATTGCAGCCAGCCATGTCTAACGCCAGAAAGGAGGTGGTGTTACAGGCATTCAAAAAGTTAGATAAGACCGGAGATGGTTTAATTACAATAGAGGATCTGAGAGGAGTATACAATGTCAAACATCACCCCAAATATCAAAACGGTGAGTGGACCGAAGACCAAGTATTCCGCAAATTCTTGGACAGTTTTGACTCTCCGGATGACAAGGATGGGAAGGTATGAAGATGCTGAAAATACAGTTGTCTCATCTAAAATGTACAGTATGCAGCATAGTAATGTATTCATATTTAGCAGATCAATCTTTTAGAATAAAATTGCTTTGTCTTTTGTTTTAAGCACCACCAGTTCAATCGGTGGCACCATAAGAAGTCATTTCTGCAGTGTTTTCTTTGATGCTATATGTCTCCATACGTCAGGTCACAAAAGATGAGTTTTTGAACTACTACTCCGGCGTGAGCGCATCCATTGACACAGATATCTACTTTATAGTAATGATGAAAAATGCATGGAAGCTTGACTAAACTTCTGAGGCATCTATTTCAGGGTAAAGAACAAAGATGGTCAACCTTAAGCAAAAACATGTCTTGACCCTGTCATCATGACCTTGTCGAACATGTTCATTGCAGACAAAAGTCTGGATATATATGAGATGTTAAGATGGATGAGATATGTAAGATGTTGATCCATTTTATCAATAGTAATTTTAACCCTAATTGATGGAGTGTGTTATCATTTCTTAAACAATCATGTAGGAAGACACACCATGGCCATTGGCCATATTCCAGGGTGACAAAGCCAACATTCATCAGACTCATTTTGTGAAACAATAGTCAGGAGGGAGCATGAAGAATCATTTTCATACTTGAATTGGGATGTGTGTAGTCCTGACTCTTCATCAGTACAAGATCTTGGACTGGACTTGGCTTTGTCATCCTAGAATATGGCCATGATGTGTCTTCCTACATGGTTGTTTAAGAAATGAAAAGCTACACACTCCACAGATACTGTATATACTGAACCAGAGGTTAAAAACAACAGGCACAGTTTTGACAGGGTCGAGTCTAAAACAAGGTGGCAAGTTTACCTTTGGTGTCTTACAACTATAAACTTTGGGGTTTTGGGGATCTACCTCTCACAATCAAAGAAATCAACCAATTTCTAATCACACAGAGTGTTTCTCACTACAGACAAGCAGCTGCACTAATGCATGTATTGTTTTATTCCAGAATCAGCCACACACTATCTAACAAATGCAGGTGGTGTGGTATTGTTGCAAGACTTTGTGTCTTGTGATTGTGTGCATCCTCTTTATTTGGCTAATGAAAGCTGCCTTTGCACCTGCTTGGATCCCATGTGAGAAACACTCAAAAACTCAAATACAAATTAAGTCTGTTATTAATTCGCTGTGAAATTTCTCGCTATCTTTCCAGGTCGGGGTTATCCTTCTGGGTGTAGATTGGGTCCATGTAAGGGCTACCACTTTGTTTAATAACATTATTTCTTCTTTTCCATCTACAGGTGACAAAAGATGAATTCTGGAACTATTACAGTGGAGTCAGTGCTTCTATCGATAGTGATGTGTATTTTATTTTAATGATGAAGAATGCATGGAAGTTATGAAGGGTTATTTAAGTTAGGGTTAATAAATTTGACACAAATTTGTTGGATATTAACAATAAATCTGGAAAATGAAATAATGGAAGTACTGTAGACGCTTGAATTATGTGTAAAATGTGTGAGCTTGCTTGTGTTACTGGCAAGTGAATTGTTTTTAATTGTTAATTGTTTATTTGCACCATAACTAAAACCAGTGTGGTATGGTGATATATGGAAGTCTTGTGAGTCTTCAGATTTAGTCATGCATGTTCTGGCAAATGCTATTTTACAAAAAGTGATTCATTTAATAAATTTTTAATTATGGTTATTAAAAAAAAGTACCCTGAGATGATTCACATAAACTGTGAAAATATATTATGTGGACTGTTGGTTTGTTATGGTGCTTTAAAAACTTTATCAGAACTAAAATCAACAACTTCATAAACAAATCTAGCAACTTTGGAAATATCAATGGAATATTTCATATAATGTTTATACATTCCTTTATTACACATCTGTTTAAGACTGACTATATATATATATATATATATATATACACACACACACACTGTAAAAAAAATATTTTCAAGATTTGTTATCACAACATTTTTTCTTTTGTCAAATCAACTTAAATAATTTATTTAGTTCAGATAACTTATTATTTTGAGTTTCTGATGATTAAATCAATCTCCTTCAAAGTATTAAGTCAATTTTTCTAGTTCAGGTTACTTAATTTTTTAAGTTAAACCAACAATATTTTTTTACAGTGTATATATATATATATGATGAAAAATGCATTACAAAATTAGCATTATGAGCAGATTTTTTTATACACAGAAAATATTTCTTCGCATAATTATAAATAAATCCTCTGATCATGAAAAAGTGCCCTATGAACTGAATGTATTGTTTTGAGTGAGGTTAGCAGAGGATAAAAAAAGGCTCTCAGCTCAGGTATATGGATGAAAATATCCATGGGTAAAGAGAACACCGAGGCTAGCAGCAGTTACATGAGGTCGGAGTATGTGTGTGATGAGTTCAGAAATGTGGATTTATATGATGCATAGTTAAAGGGATAGTTCACTTTGAAATTAATTTTTGATAAGTTTTAGCTTACTTCAAGGGCATCCAAGATCATGTAGCTGTCTTTGTTTCCACAGTATTTTCAATTTTGACATGTTTTGGTCAAACCGTTGTTGTCTGTCAGAGAAGTCAAAATTAAACATGATTTAACGACTCGTGAATGTAAGTACACACTATTGACACGAAACGAGCGGTTTGTGTGAGAAAACGAACAGTATTTATATAATTTTTACCTCTTGTAACAGCCGTCGAACTGATCTGAATCAGATGACCGTCTCCAACGTGACGCCGGAAGTGATCACGTGCGTATGTACGTCACATATTGTTTACGCGGAGATTTCGGAAGTTTTACCTTTCACTAAATCGCAATGGAACAGACGATTTCGATATATCTGAGGGAGGGAGGACCCTCTTACCTCCAGTGTATGACTGACAGACAACAACAGTTTGACCAAAAAATGTCAAAATTGAAAATGCTGTGGAAACAAAGACACCTACATCTTGGATGCCCTTGAGGTAAGCTAAAACATATCAAAAATTAATTTCAAAGTGAACTATACCTTTAATGCCTGTGTTTCTGAAACATTCAGAAGGAAATAGGCTACCACAATGGAGACCACAGCTGTGCGTGATGCTTGGTTGAAAATGAAACTTGTGGATGACTGCTACGATATGTACAAACATGGTTAGCCCAGAGCTACAAACCGGACACATCTTTGACATGTGAAAGCGTCTCATAATACATAACAGGCTTATTGGCTTTTAAATGCATCACTTACAATGTTTTGTGTACGCAGAATAACTTCATCTACCAAGGGTCTGTAAAATAACCAGTAAACTAGAATTGTTCATTTTGTGTTGAAGAGGCTGGACATAGTGACATAGGCTTCATCTTTGCATTCTCGTTGAGGGGCCGTTTCACCCTGATGGCCACTGTTTTCTCTTCCTTTTGACAAATCTGATTCATCTAACAATCTTATTTTCAGGTGGGACTGCTCTCTTAGAAACGGTTCATCATTCATGTCCATTTCACTCGATGTACTCAAGGAACTGGTTAGGCTGTAGCAGCATTCATCCAGACCGTCCTCAATCTCCAGAGCAGATGGTTTTTCATCAACGTAATCCACACGGTGTATGAAGACATCGCTGAATATCTCAGGACTGAAAGTGAAAGCAAGACCCTGAAAATGCAAAAAACATTCTGCATGAGGACATTGTGGGACATTCTTGTTGTTTAATCTTGCAGAATGTCAAGAGAAGCAATAATACACAGGACAAAGTGAATTACCTCTCTTGCCCTGTGCATTTGTGCAAGAGTTGCCTTCGGGTGCGGGATGTTTGGTGTGATGTAGTCTTTTATACTGGGTGAGAATTTTAGCCTTTAATACTTTGGTACAGTTAAAAAAAAATACATTTCTAAAATAAAAACACTCACTGCGTTCTCCATAGCAAGGCCCCCAAACTGATGATGAGCACCAGAGAGACAGAGAAGCCGATGGTGATTTGAAGTGATGATAGTGAAGTGACGTTTAGAAGGTCAGTATTGTTTGCTTCAATAAATGTAGAACACGTGTCATCATTTACATCATCAAAATGAATTAGACAGGATGAATAACGATTAAAATGTGTTTTTCCATATTTTCTCAATCCCAAAGCTATCTGATTCTTCGCCTACCCAATAATGTGCGTAAAAAGCCCAACAAGGGTTCTTGCTCCTTCAGATTAAGTCCTCCTTGGTGTTTAGTATACAGGATTCATTCATCACCCTATTGGCCTAGTTCACATAACCTCTCATATAACTGACATTTAATCAATGGTCCACTCACTTTTTATAGTGAAATTGGCAGTCGAACTCCATTCACTCCAGTCGCCACCAAAATAGTCGATAGGTTTTGCTCTGACACGTGTATAGTAAACACCATCTCCACCAAATCTGTCCCTGTGGATAATTAAGCTCCTATATTCAGTAGTATGCCTGATGGGCTGTAAAGAAAGAAAGGGTGTTGTTTATTTGTTAAATGAACTCGAAATGATTCCATCTTAATTTTTAAGAAAGGCCCAGTTTAACACACCTTGTTTGCTAGTTTGTCCCCCCAGATTTCCACTTGAAATTCAGGATTGGTAACATAATCATGGCTGTGTTCAAACCCAATGGAAACATCCTTTGTGTCTTCCGTGTAAGTGGCAAGCGTTATTCTGGGAGCTGAGATTTTGACTGCAAGGACAAAGGCGGATTAGATAGATAGATAGATAGATAGATAGATAGATAGATAGATAGATAGATAGATAGATAGATAGATAAACAGACTTGCCAATTTTGTTCAGGTTGATGTCTTTTTCAATAACCCATTCTCTTGTGTGTACTTTGAGCTTGTAATTATTAAGTATAATCAAATTCTCAAAAGTAAAGTCTTGTGGTCCTGGAGTAGTATTTGTACAAGTTGTTATTTCCATTATTTTGCTAAACAGAAAAGAAAAAGAAAAGTCCAGTTCAACATCATAGTTTAGACCAAACATTACATTAAAACAAGGTACAAAAGCGTTTTTTAAATATTCAGTTTCTGACATATATTCCACACCCATTTATAGTAAACGTGTCTAATGAAATACCAGAGTGTTGCAAATTTGACCTCCTCATTGGGTTCATCATTTAGCGAACAGGTGAGGTTACTCTGTTTTAAGGTCAAAGTGGATGTGCAGGTCACTTCTTTCTCAGACCAGTCTAAAATGTATCGAGAGGAGAAAAACATAAACCAACGTTTTTATAATCACCCTTGTTAGTGTGCTTCAATGAAAACTACCTTAAATAAACTTTTCACATATAAATTTTCCCCCAAAGACATGTCATAAAAAAACCGCAACACAATCTAGCTACATTTACAGTCATAAAGCTGGAGTACTTGGCGGTGATTTGACTGAAGACTAAACCGCTTGTAATAATAGCTCCCATTCAGAACCAGCGTTGGGTGTAAAGCATTACTACATTTAACAAAAACATTTTTATAAAATGTAATAATTAGTAGGAAGTAACTTTCCCCAAAATGATCAATAAAAAAGTGAAAGTAATAATAATCTCTGAATTTTCAGTTCGTACATTCTCAGTTTCTATATACAATCTCAAATCACTTACCATCATCTCCACTCTCAGACAGAATTAAAGGACAGAAAACAACAAACAGCATCCGTAAAACACCCGTCATCTCTCATCCAGCAGTGCAGACATAGATCACACAAGCGACGCGTATTCATTACTCACACATTTACTGACAAGTGACAGCTCACAGCTCGTCTCTCAGTGGTACTTTCAGATGAGAGAGGAAGAGAGAGAGACAGAGTCGTAGAGAGACAGAGAGTGAGAGAGTGAGAGAGAGAGAGAACAGGATATCTCTCACATGTGACTGAAAGAGACATGTAGAGAGCATTACATGTGTTGGAAGTGGAACTGCTCTGAAAATAATAATTAGAAAATGTCACAGTCCAATGTTTCAAGTAACTTAAATATCAAAAGACATTAAAATTGAAATTTGAAAATTGTGTCAACTGGCCCTCTAGCGGTAAATAACACCATGCATTTTTTTTGGTTGTGGCTCGGCTCTGCATGACTGTGTGGATGAATATGGTTATCCTACAACTCATATAACTTATAAGATATATAACCTGTTTCGATGGAAATGATATTAAGCCGCCACTAATTCCATAATATAGTAAAATTACCCTTCACAATAATGCCATGATGAACTCTGTTAAAGGGATATACTCCACCCAAAAATTTAATTATGTCATCATTTACTCACCCTCAAGTTGTTGCAAACCTGTATGAGTTTCTTTCTTCTGCTGAACACAAAGCAAGATGTTTTGAAGACAGATTGGAACTTTGGCACCATTGACTTTCATAGTATTTTTTTTTTTTTTCAATGAAGTCAATGGTGCCAAACAACTGTTTTGCTCCAATCGTTCTTCAAAATATCTTCATTTGTGTTCAACAGAAGAAAGAAACTCATACAGGTTTGAAACAACTTGAGGGTGAGTAAATGATGACAGAATTTTAATTTTTGGGTGGAGTATCCCTTTAAGAGAGCCACTCCCACACCATACAAGTAGCTGGAGCAACTTTTCCCTATTTATGAATATGACAAGACATGCACGGGCAAGTGAGGCATGTACGTAATTTTCCACCATCCCATAAACTCTTATCATAGGCTTACCATAGTAAATCAGGGTAAAATAAAAACACATTTTGGAAGAAAGATTGATGATGTATTGACTCATTGTTAAAGTCTTTCGATGTTTATATGTGGTGTTTTTAATATGCATTAGGACAAACCATGTGCAAATTCATAAGGCAACAGCATTGCTGAGTATTTTCTCCTTAAAACTGCAGTGAAAAAAAACAAACTTTTTTTGTTATTTCAATGCAAATTTACAAACACAACATGAGATCATCAAGGAGTGGATCTCTAAGCTGGTGAGTGAGTGGAGGCGGGGCCAATTGGCATATTCATGGCTTCCGCGTATTCTATGAGGCAAGGGTGTAGTTACGGTGCGTTCATATGTTATGGTAATTATGGTAAATACCAAAAGCCAACGTGGAAAATGCACATGAACACCCTCTCATGTGGTATTTTCCATTGGGCAGCTCGTAGAATATTTTGATGCACGAGTTGCCGAGATGAGATAACCTTTGACCTTTTCGAGTCGTGAATGGTAAAAATATGTACTACTACTAGTCATGATCTAGAAAATATACAATTATTCACCGTTTGAGTTTTGATTAATAATTTTCTTGATGTAGCTGATGACTTAAGCAATCTAAAATAGTTTTAGTTAAATAACAGGTCTGGATCTCCATCTTTTTACCATTACGACAACAAAACCACTTGAACGCAACACACTGGTAAATAACAGTTCACAAATGTTAAATATCATATTTTCCATAGCACTTGAACGCACCATTTACATTCAAGGTATTTTAAGGCATGAAGAGTTTTTTTCAAGGAAAGAAACGTTTACATGCGTCATTTTTGTGATCAAAGATGAGTTTTAAAGGATACATTGACTACCATTGTAATACGTCACAGCTGTTATGTAGAAGTTAAGTTTTGCATCGTGCAGAAGAATAGTCAGCACTTTATTTAGGTCAGACAATGGCAGACCAGAGCAGGTTGTGGTTTTGACTGTAACAAAACTACGTTGCAAACATTTTTGTAGTTGGAATGAATCTGATGCCTGAAAAATGGAGATCTAGTAAATATTTGTTTACTTCCATGTTACAAAATGACACGCAACAAAAGACTGTAATATTTATTTATCCAACTAGCAGATATCAGGGATTACATTTTATATAGTTTAAAGAATGAAAAAGTCTAAAAATTGTTTTTTTTTAATAATAATAATATACTATAATAATTATTATTATTATTTTAAATATTTGAAGTAACTTTACGAAAATATCAAGATAAAAAAATATAAAACGTATATAAATATTATAGATATATCAACAAAGACTGTTTTGCCAAATTATCAGGCTTTGCTTACATATTATTTGCAAGAAGTGCAGCTAGATATTAAATGAAAAAGTCCTCTCAGCATGTACCTTAAATCTGAAAAACAAAAACAAGTGGTAACCTATTACAACCCACTTCCTGTCGCCTCAAGCAAATGAGTTCATGTAAAAATGAGGCCAGCACATCATCAGTCTGACGCTGAGCTGCTACCTGTCCTGTAAACAAAGTGAACAAGTCACAGACAAGACTGGATTAATGTCTAATAAATCAAACCGACTTTCAATATTAAAGGTCATGTAAATGAATCATGCCATTAAACTACTGTAGATACTGCACTCTAAAACATGCTGGGTTGTTTTAACCCAATTTTGGGTAAAATATGGAAAAACTTTGGGTTAAAAATGTTGTTTAAAATGTTAACCCAATTACTGGTTTGTCAATATTTGATCCAAACCAGCATTTTTACTGTGTGCATTTTAGAAACATTATGACAATTTAAAAGCTACTGACATTTGCATGACCCAATGAATGATTCTGATGACATGAATTAAAAGTCTTGAGGATACACAACAATATTTCATCCTTTTTGTAAAAAATAATCGTGATTTTAACGGTAAAAATGCTACAGAGCAAAACCTTTAATTGGTTAACAGAAAGTTTCCGTACTATATAGCTACGGTAAATAACTGTGATAGATCTTAATGTAGTTTTACTGTAAAATACCGTTATTTACAGTTCCGGAAATTGAAAAAGAACAACTCATTGTATAATTTATAGTGAAAAAACGTTAATTGACATTCCCATAATTTCCTGTGTGACACTTCACATTTTATTTATTTTTATTGAAATAACTGTTTCCTCATAGTTTTTTTAATCAGTTATGTATTAGGGTTTTGTTACATTTAATGTTGTTAAATTAATGTGTATTACATTTTTTTTTTATTGCCATGTGTGTTACCATGGTGGTGTTTAATGTTTGAGTGAATGACAGTGTGGAGCTTTTTATGACGAGCTGTGATTGATCATGTGACTCATCACAGCTGTGATGATTGTTGGTTGTCAGTGTATTACAATGGTGCGAAACAAATATCAATACTACAATAGATTGGTAAACTAACATCATAACTGATGTAATGCGGTTTATTACTGTAAATTCGAAGTAAAGTAGGTAAAACGAATAACGTTGCTACCGTACCGTTTGACGGTAAAGTTCTAGCAACCACAGCTGCCGTTTTTTTACCGTAAAAATTACGGTTTTATTTTTTTACAGTGGAGTGTTGTCTATACGTGTTACTGTTGTGGAGAGATTGTGGTTACTCATCTGTATATCTACATATTCCCTGTATCTACAGAGTACAATGATTCATTTTGTTGTGATACATTAAGAATTTCCAAGTAAAAGAAAAAAAAAAAATTTGATCCAAGGACTTGTGCAAATCTGTGCTACAATCGCAGGACTGCATGAGCAATACTAGAACTTCACAGTATGCCTCTACACGTGTTACTTTCTATCTGGTAAACACTGGCAAAAAGCAGTGAAAGGTCTTTACAACTGATCATTGCTGATAATTTGGTTTTTGACCCGTCGAGTAACCACATAAATGGATGTGGTGTGGCAACCTTGATAATCCTAAAAGAAATCAGCATGCTGTCTAAAATCTGGCAGAAAACTTGTGCTTTCTTGGGTTATCAACATGGTAATCTGATCTGCTCGTCTTAACATACATGTAGGTCATTTGTCACCAGTTTACTTCAGTGCAAACACTGAAAGATATAATATAAAGGACACTTATTGTCACTTTTGGTTAAATTTACGTAAAAACATTCTAATTTAACTATAGGTGTTTGAAACCAACTTACAACAACAACAAAAACAACATTTGTTTAACTGAACTTTTGAACTTAACGTTACTGACATTTAGTCATTGGGAAACTATCAGAATTTAGATAGATGGCAAGAAGTTGTGCGAAGACAGAAAAGTCCCATGTTGTGAAGAGATTTTGAGGCACACAGAGTAGGATTGTACAGCATCAGTGGGAGGAGGGTTTCAGGGTTGCTAGCGTTAAGTACTCTCGAATGCGTCCGTGGGCGACTGTGGTTAACGCGCCGTAGCTCAGCGATAATCATGTGAGTACAAGAAAACAAGGTGGGGAAAGGGGGGAAAGCATGCGCGTTTTAGCTCAGTCATTTGTGTTTTTCGCAGAAACAATGCAACATCTTTTCCATCGGTCGGTGCCAATAACTAGAGTAGATGTTTAGTCACCACGTGGTTGGAGGGCATCATTGGAGCAGCATAACGTGGTGCGCAGGGATGCGACGAGCACTTTGAGTTGCATTGTGAGAGCCCCTTACCCCTCCCCTCTGAAACCACACTCTATCGCTGTAGGCCCCTATCGCACAAAAACATCTCACAACAACAGCCTCGGTGGTTTCTCTGCATACAGTTGTTGTCTGTATTCTACGTTCAAGGCTTATTTGCCGTAGGGTGCTATTTTTTAATGTCTCTATACTCGTCTCTCCCTCCTCTTTTGGGTTGAGGTTGGGATATTTAAGCTTCAACACACTGTGACGCGCGCACGCAAGCTTTCTGTAAGAGAAAGTCACTTTATGGATACAGTTTTTACTGACTACAGCAGATCTTTGCATAAAATGTGATGCGCTGAACAACTGCATGTTTTTTTTTTTGCAAGATGTTTTATCCACCAAATTTGTTTTTTTTTTTTTTGAAAAATGTAAAGTTGTTTCCATGCGAAATACTATCAGGAGCTTGCATTGTTAAAATGTGATGACTTCCTGTGAAAACATTACCACAAACAGATTGAGCATCAAATGATCAAGCTGTCGTGTCTTGCCATCCTA